TTGTAAAATGAATTCCTCTGTCAATTTACTTTTCTTTGCCAGTGTGGGAAGAAAAATGAAAAAAAAATTCTCATTAGTGTTCAGCGAAAGCTGGATTAAGTAAATGCAAAGATAGAGTCTTCATTTCTTCTATATCTTTTTGAAAGATGGTATAATACTTTGGACAGTGCAGTAAAAAACTAAATGGTGATGTGGTATTATTTATTTTAGTATAGCTTCATTCCTGATGTAAACTATCCCATCATTCTTGCTTTTTTCTCTTATTTTTTAAATCTTTTTAGTAGAACTAGGAATAATTAATTAATAATGAAATAATTTTTAGGATGATGAATAGCAAAGTGTTTTAAGATATGGAAAAAATAAAATCAATGAGATCTCACATGTCAATTTTATAAAAGGGCCCAATTCTCCCATGTGGTATGTGCAAGATAATATGGGCTTATTCTATTTAAAAATAAGAGATAAATTTTCTCCTTGTTCTTTGGAAGACTTCTAAGAAAGAGTAGAAATCATTAAATAGCAATCCTTACAAATAGTTTGAAAAGTTCAAAAACAAAAATTGGATCCAATGGACCCTGATTGTTTATCAAAAGTTAAATGAGATCCCATCTGGAAAAGCAATCTGAGGTCCTAGATGATTGGTTTCCCACTAAATACTCCAGCAGTCAAATTGAAGAGATCAGAACTCTGTGTGATAGATAACAGATTAATGGTATAGAAGCAATTTTCCCTAGGAAAACACCATTTTTAAAGATATGTGTTGGTCTAAGCATGAGCTGCAGGCCACCTTTATTAGAGTCACCTGGATCTTGTTAAAATTGCAACTTCTGAGACCTTACCCCAGACCTACTGAATCCTTTCCCTGGGGTTTGAGAATCAGGAATCTATACTTTGAACAATTTCCCTGGTAGATTCTGATGTTCACTATAGTTTAAAAACTGCTGAATAGATCACATCCAAGGTTTCTTTAAATATTTTTGCATATTGTGATCCCTGATTCCAACATCAGTGGTTTTGCCATTCGACTTTAAGTACCTATTTCTGATTTGGTGTATTTGGTAGATAACGATCCATACATGCAGCACTTGTTTATTGAGTATTTACTCTTTGCCTACCAGGTTGGCTGCTAGGCAACAAGAGAGGAAAGGCCTTTCCCATTAGGGGGCTTACATTCTCTTTTGGATACACATAAAGTTAACAATAACCAATGTAATTTCAGTGGGTGAAGAGTGCCACGAAGAAAATAAAAAAGGGAAATGGGATGGAAAATTACATTTATGGAGAGGGCAGTGAAGGATGTCCAAGGCCATCCAGTTTAACAATTTCAAAGACCATCATGTACTTAGATTACAATATGCATGATGATCCCTGGAGTTGTGCCATGCTTTATCACGAGAAGGCCATGCTATGCACGTGACTTTTCATCTGAGAACTGGATGACAAGAAAGAGATGTATGTGTGTGTGTAAAAATCTTTTGACGTTAGACTAGGGAACAGCAGACTCTGAAGTGGAAGTGAGCATGACTTGTTCCCAAAAAGGAGGAAAAAAAGCCAGTGTGGCTGGAGCCTGGTGGAAAACGTAGGAGAGCTGTGAGAGTTAAGGTTGAAGCGAAGCGAATGCAGGATAGGGAGCAGTACTCAGACTTGGCTAGTAATCTTAACATATTTTCATAGTCAATATACTTTCTCAATATCTGAGACCCCTATGACACAACACCTGCACAAACCTTCAACACTGTCTCACACCTCAACATTCTCAACTGCTCTTTAGGCTTCTTGTTTCTTTGGAAAAGTAGATGCTATCACAGAAGAGATTGCCTATATGTTCCCACCACCAAACCTACCAAATTACCCACATCAGAAACTATGGTCCTTACTTTCTCTCATGTGACAAATCTTACTGAGGTGGCCCCTTTTCACTGCAATGATCACCCACTCTAGGACTGTGATTGTGTCATTATTCTCCTTTTCCCCTGACACAGCAATATTCCTCTCTCTACCAGATGAGTGAACATATTCATGAATGAACAAAGAGATGAACTCATGAAAGATATGAAAATTGGGCAGCGGGAGTATAAAAGGGAAGTGTCAGTGGGATTCTCAGATGACTCGCCTGATCATCTATGTGATAGGTAGTAATGTTAGCTGGAATGGGCAACACATAATGGATCTTTTTTGGAGGGAACATAATGGACCATCTTGATTTCTCTATATCTTTGTGTACCCCATGGGGATGTTAAGAATGTAGCAAGATATTTAGATCAGAGACTGAACTAGAGAGGGAAATGCAAGAATCATATGGGTGGATGGAGATTGAAGATATAGGTATAGATGAGATGGCTGCTTAAGCAGAGATCATGGCATGAAAGGGGAAGGCGGCCAAAAATGAGAACCAAGGAGCTCCCAACATAAGAGTCTTCAGTAAGTGCATGAGTGGGGGGAAGGGCAAAGGGACAGAATCTTCAAGCAGACTTCCCACTGAGCACAGAGCCAGACATGGGGCTTGATCCCACAACCAATGAGATAATGACCTGAGCTGAAACCAAGAGTTGGACATTTAACCAACTGAGCCACCCAGGTGCCCCTTAAAGGGGATAATTTTTTAAAGTAATTGTATACTGCCATTACATTGTAAAGAATTGAAAAATATAAAGAGAGAGATGACATCACGAAAAATGGCAGAGTAGGGAACTCAAAGTTTCCATGCCAAAAATGGTCAGAATCAACTTTTGCAGGACTCTGGAATCTAATAAAAACTTACAACAACGAGAGGAAAACTAGTTGAAGAGAAAAGCTCCTGAATTGCAGTAAGAGAGTGCCATGGCATTTTAAATTGCCAGCCCACCATCACCAACACTCTAGATCGGTTAATGAAGGTTGCTAGTACCAGAAGAAACATTATGGACCTTATTCTCAAAGAACTGTGTCTATGGGTCTCTACCATCTGTCAGGTCCTTCTCACAGAGAGCACAAGGTTTCTCTATATTTTGCCTCAGAGCCTTCCCAGGAGTGGAGTGGCTTTTGCCAAAAGCATTTAAAGGCCTGGGTATTAGACCTAGCAGGCTGGGGCAAAGGACAGTACTGAGGACAAACAATAAATAGAATGAGAAAGCTGGGAGGAAGAGGCTGGAAAAGGAGATACATGGGAGAATAAGAGATTTTAAAAGCTCCCCAATATACAGGGAGATTGAGAAGACCACACATATGCCCAGAATGGGATGCAAGTGCTTCCAAGGCCTGAGGAGGCCTTTCACCTCTGGCTGGCGTTCAGACTCTGTGCAAATAGGAAGTGAAAACTAATGCAGAGTTGAAAACGGTCTGGATAAGCAGTGAATGAGTTCCCCAGCACAGACCAATTTGCAAAAACTGAGAGTGTTTCTTCTTTTTTTTCTTTTACTGGCTCCAGGTATTTAACGGTCAAAACACCAGCTGATCACTAAGCTAAGGCCACAGACTTTAGTGGTACACATGATAAAAGAATACAGACTTCACAAAAGGTCACTAAACAAACAAACAGCAGCCCACAACAACCAGCAAAAAATCCTGAGGAGAGGGAAGAATAGGATTCCTAGAGGTGCCACATTATAATATTCAAAAGGTCCAGTTTCAACAGCAAAAAATTATAAAACATGCAAAGAAAGTATGGCCTATTCACAGCAAAAACGAAATTAGTAGAAACTGTCCCTGAGGAAGCTGAACTTACTAGGGAAAGATTTTAAGTCAACTGTCTTTAATATGCTCAAAGAGTTAAAGGAAACCATGGACAAAGAAGTAAAATAAACCAGGAGAATAATGTCTCACCAAATATGGAAAATGAATAAACAGGAAGAAATTATTAAAAGGAACTAACAAAATACTGGAGCTAAAAAGTACAGTAGCTGAAATTAAAAATTCAATAGAAAAGTTCAACATCAGATATGAACTTGCAGAATACACTCACCAAGACACATCATAGTCGAATTGTCAAAGCCAAAGACAAAAAGAGTATCCTGAAAGCAGCAATACATGTTAGGTTTTATTTAGAACTTGATCCAAACAAACTATTAAAAAAAAAAAAAAACTATGACAGAATTGAGAATTTGAACACGGGTTGGACATAAAACAGTATTAAGGAATTATTAATTGTTAGGTGTGAAAATGTTGTGATATAAATATACATATATTATATATATAAATTATATAAATATATAAATATGAGAGTCCTTATAGACATGTACCTTGAAATACTTACGCACAAAATTATATTACGACTGGGATTTGCTTCAAAAATAATTTCTAAGAGTAGGAAGTGGGTAAGAATATACATGAAATAACACGCAATGAGTTAAATGTTGGAGCTAGGTGATGAGTACAGTGGCTTTCATTATACTATTTTATTTTTGCATATGTTTGAAATTTTCCATAACAAGAGTTAAAATAAAGTTAATGTAAACTACAAAGAGAACACAATTCTAATCGAAAAAGGAACAAAACAAAAAGGTATTAAGAATTCGAAAAAATTCCATCTCCTTTCTTGCCCCCCCACCCCACATACACATTTTGGTAAAGAAAATGGTGAACATTGGTAGCCAGGAGGACCACAGGTTGGGAGCAGGGTGTTTGTGACATCTTGCTCATAGATGTTTTTGCATTAATTTTGTTTTTTAAAATATTGCATTAAAATACGATTATCTTCACTACTGAGGTTTTTCTGCACCCCCTTAAATTTTGCGCCGGCGTCATGGAGGGGGTAGGGATGTATCCCGGGAGCAAAGGAAAGGAAGAGGCAAGGCCCCAGAGAAGAACGGAACGGCCAACAGGTCCCTGAGAAGATACTGCCCTTCCCCAGCCGCAGAGAAAGGCCCAGGAATACACAAAGAAGGGAGAGCCACGGAGCCCAGGCTGGTGCTGTTAAAGACGCCGCAGCAGAAGGGAGCTGCGCTGGCCAGCCGGCTGTGCGCCCCCGCGCGGGCTGAAGCCGGCACGGGATGGGGGCGGTGCCGCTCGCCGTGACGAAGGCCTCACGTGACCCGCCAACGCGGACTCGCGCCCTCGCTCCAGCGTCAGAGCCGGCCTTCGCTCACTTGCTTCTCGGTGCCTGCTCCCGGTGGACCTGAGGGCGTGCGGGCCAGAGGCAGCCGCAAAGAGTCGGAGGCGGACGGGAAGCAGGTAGGGGGCCGGGAGGAGGGGAGCGTTCCCTGGGCTTGGTGTGGGAGAGCCCACGCGGCCCGCGGAGCCTTGCTGGGGGACCGGCTGCCCCGCGGCGAAGCGGCGCAAGGACCGCAGCCCTCACGCCCCACCGCAGCCCGCGTTTGGCCGCAGAAAATGCTAGGCGGAGGGCTGGCCCGCGGCGAGGCGATGACCCTTCGGAAACACCTGCCTCTTGCGCCCCCCGCCCCGCCCCCGTCCTTCTCGGTGTAGAAAATGGTGGTCAGCACGGGGGATGGGGCGGCTGGGTGTGGGGGAGAGGCGGCCGTGGGGGGTCCGGGAGGGGCTGGGTAGCGTCGGGTCGGCGGGGAGCGCTCGGCTGCAGCAGCCCCCGCTGCCCTCACCCCGGCCCTCTGCAGGTGTGCAGGTCTAAGTGTCGCGGCGGCGCACTCTTCGGCGAGAATCGGGAGGAGGAGGAGACTGCAAGGATAGGCCCAGGTCGGTGCGGGGGACAGTGGGGGCCGAAGGGAACGTATGGAAAGCCCTGAGACCCCAAATTCCCTCCCGCCACCCACCCCCACCCGCCAGCCCGTCCTCCATCTTGGTGCCTGCAGAGGCCTGGGCAGGGATAGGCAGGGAAAATGGTGGGCTTTGGGCGGGGCGGGGGGGGGTGGAGAGGGCTCGGACAGGGAGCCCCCTGAAGAGCGTAGGGAGCCTCTCCAGTGGGAGAGTAAAATTTTAAAAAGCATTTGAAATCCAGGGCTCTGAATTTTGAAAGGTGCGTAGTAGGGCCTCTGTCCTCGGTGCTGATCGTCCCACCAAGAAAATAGCCCTTTTTCTGGTCTCTTACCTCTAGGAGCAATGGCGTCCAAACAGAAACAAGCGGTGAAAAATGTCAACATGGAAAATGCCCAGCAGGAAAAGGAAGGAGGACAGGGCCCCGTGCAGAATGAAGAGGAATCACGCAATTCGAGAGGGGGTGAAGGCCAGAAGCATGGAAGAAATGTCAGGCTGGGGCGAATGAGACGACTTGTCCCTAATTTTCGGTGGGCCATACCCAGCAGGCATATTGATCACAATGAAGTGGGAGATGATGAGGAAAAGTTTGTAGGGCAGATGATGGAAGTCAGGAGAAAGACTAAAGAGCAGCAAATGAGGCATCATAAGCGCTTCCAAACTCCTGAACCTGATAATCATTATGACTTTTGCCTTATACCTTGAATCCTAAGGTTTTCTCCGAGGTCAATAATGTGACCTCTGCTCTACAAGCTTGTAGTTTTGTGATTTACTTTTTCTGTAAACCTTTTGGTGTTTCCACTTACCAGTTTGTAATTAAATATTGTTTTGTCTCAGTGTAAAATTTTCTGTCCAGTAGGACAATTTCACTCAGTTTTAGGAAAAACTATTCCTTTCATAATGTGAAATTAATAAAGCAGTTTAAAAAGCAATCTTCCATTCTCACCCTAGTCTTTATTTTTTAATACTACCTTTCCTCTCCTAGCTCCCTGGACTCAAGATCTCTAGTCTTTGACTGTTTTTTATTGTTGTTCCCATCCAATGAGCAAGGAAGGATCATACTCATAACTCAACATCTGGTATAATTTTAAGAATGTATGTCCTGTTTTTCAAGGAGTGTGAGTCCACCACCTACATAAGAACATTTTGGGAGGGGAGCTTTTTGAGAATATAAAACATCTGGCTTCTATCCTCCAGACCCACAAATGGGCACTCCAGAATTGCCATTTTTAACAAGCTTTCCAGGTAAATCTAAGGTACACCTGTAATCTGAGGCCACTGTTGTATGTATGTATGTATGTATCTATATGTACATACGTGTGTGTTGTCATATTAAATGTGAATGATAAAGTAAAATAACCAGATGAATGCTTACCTGAGTTTGACAGGCAAAAACATTAAAAAGGAAAAGTACAAGACCTTAAAATAGACTGATTAGAAGAGTGGTAAGGATAGTGGTAGATGAGGGTACTGGAGTTCAGAGATGATAAGTACCAAGCTACCCCCTACTATATATCTGGCCTGGGCCATTTTCTCTAAGACTCTGTCATCTGGAGATAACAGAATATTTGACTTATGTACCTGGTAACAGGTTGAGGAAGGTCTAAGATAAAGATTGAGGCTGTTTTTAAATTTTTTTTGTATATTTTCAATGCAGACACTTTAACTTTTTAGGAAAGAGCAGAAAGAAATCTTAACCTGATAATCCAGTATTCTTCAAAGTGACAATAGCCACCCATTATGGCTCTTGAAATTAGTTTTGCGGGTCACAAGCAATTTTAAACAACATCATAGTCCATTGCCCATGAGTAGCATTAAGGATTATTTTGAGGGGTGCTTGGGTGGCTCAGTCGGTTGAGTGTCTGACGCTTTGTTTTGGCTCAGGTCATGATCTCATGGGTCACAAGAGCAGTCTGCTCAGTGGGGAGCCTGCTCAAGATTCTCTTCCTCCGCCCCTTTACCCGCCCCCAGCTCACTCTAAATAAATAAAATCTTTTTAATAAATTATTTTGAGAAACTTATTTTAGTAGGAGACATGTAGGAGATACTGTAGCCTTATAAAATGTATTTCTAAATTTAGGTTGCAGGGTAAAAGAATTGAAACTGGTGCAGCCACCATGGAAAACAATATGGAGGTTCCTCAGAAAGCTCAAAACAGACCTACCCTATGACCCAACAATAGTACTACTAGATATTTATCCAAAGATACAAACATAGTGATTCAAAGGGGCACATGCACTGCAATGTTTATAGCAGCAATGTCCACAATAGCCAAAATAGGGAAAGAGCCAAAAACTAATTAAGTAATGTATGGTGATTAACATAATAATAATAATAATAAAAGAAATGATTAAGTAAAAAATAAATAGGGAAAGAGCCCAGATGTCCATTGACAGATGAATGGATAAAGAAAATGTGGGGTGCATCTATATGTACATATATGTGTTTGTATATATGCACCCCACGTGTGTGTATAATGGAATATTACTCAGCCATCAAAAAAAATGAAATGAGCACCTGGGTGGCTCAGTTGGTTGGGCGTCTGCCTTCAGCTCAGGTCATGATCCCAGGCTCCTGGGATCAAACCCCACATTGGGCTCCCCACTCAGCAGAGAGCCTGCTTCTCCCTTTCCCCTGCTTGTGCTCTAATAAATAAAATGTTTTTAAAAAAGAAAAGAATGAAATCTTGCCATTTGCAATGATGTGGATGGAACTAGAGAGTATTATGCTAAGTAAAATAAGTCAGAAAAAGACAAATACCATATGATTTCACTCATGTGAAATTTAAGAAACAAAATATGAACATAGGGGAAGAGAAGGAAAAATAAAATAAGAAAACTGAGAGGGAGGCAAACCATAAGAGACTAACTCTAGAGAACAAACAGGGTTGCTGGAGGGGAGGTGGGTGGGGGGATGGGGTAACTGGGTGATGGGCATTAAGGAGGGCACTTGATGTAATGAGCACTGGGTGTTGTATGCAAGTGATGAATCACTGAATTTTACCTCTGAAACTAACAATACAGTATATGTTAATTAAATTGAATTTAAATAAACAATTTTTTTAAACTAAGAACAAATTTAAAAAGTCACTTCTTCAAACTTCATTTCACAGATGAGGAAACTACGTAGGGAAATGGTTTCCCCAAGGTCACATAGCCAGTTAGTGGTAGAGCTGGGACCACAGTTCCCAGTTCGGGGTGCTTCTCTCCTTACCACAGTGCCTCCACAAGGCATGATTTGGAAATATGTGTGTGCTGGTTACCAGTGGTGTACATTTACAAACATGTACAACTTATACAAAATCACTGTTTATTTCTTGTTCACACCTCAGTCATCAGAATCCCTGCATGTTTAATTGGCAAACATTTAAGGAGAGCTCTGTGCCCCTTATAACATTTTGGAGCTGGAATGATCTTTCAGCTTCTGTCTAGAGGAAGGGAATGTTAGAGAGTCTGATCTGGAAATGCAAGGTGGTGAACTCATAGGCACTTCATAAAGGCTAGCTGATTGAGTGATGTTCATGAAAGGCCTTTTGGTCCTTCTGAAAATCAATGCTATACCTTTCCATACACCAATCCCAGATTTCTCAAGATAGCCTCAATTTTAAAAAATCTGTGGGTGGGAGGTGAGATCAGAACTTGACTGGTGGAAGGAGAACTGAAGGAAGCCTCCTCATCAGCGTTCTTTGGGAGTGGTGGTAGATGAGGACAGACTTTCCAAAAGAAGTAAAGGCCAACGTTGGGGTTCAGAATAAGATTTTTTGAAGAACTGAAATAAATTCCCTCTCCTTAGTGTTTCTGAGGGAGTGGGATGATGAAGTCAGAACTTTCTGGAAGTGGTAAAATTCAGGGAACAAGGTCACAGTGTGATTGGTTGAAGGAGAACCAAATTAAGACCCCTCTCCTGGAAGTTTCTCTGATGGTGGGGTATGAGTACAGAACTTTCTAGAAGCAGTAAATTTCAGGGACCATGATCAGAACATGATTGAAGACAAGAAAGCACCCTTTCCTGGATGTTTCAGCAGGGGTGGAGGAGTGAGAACAGAACTTTCTGGAAAAAGTAATAGCCAGGGGAAAAAGTAAAAGTCACCGAGTCAGAAGGTGATTGAAGGAGAACTGAGTTACTTTTTTTTTAGACTTTATTTATCAGAGAAAGAGAGAGCAAGCAGGGAGGAGTGGCAGGCAGAGGAAGAAGCAGGATCCCCGCTGAGCAAGGAGCCCGATGCGGGACTCTATCCTAGGACTGTGAGATCATGACCTGAGCCGAAGGCAGATACTTAACCAACTGATCCACCCAGGCATCCCAAGAACTGAGTTACTTTAGTGAACACTTCCATTAACTTACACATCCCATGCAAGTGTTAGTCTAGGTGGGCAGTACATTCTGACTTTTTAAGGTGACAATGGAGATCTATTATTTGGAAGTCTCTAAAGAGACTGGCAAGAAAATTAGAGAAATATGAAAACAAAAGAAAAGTGAATCAACCAGGAACAACAAAAAGGACTAATGCATTCATCCCTATCAGTCATTTATGTGTTCATGTTTGTTTAGTTTCTCAAGGAAAATGTGTATGTTTGCATAGATTTTTGAAGCAAGGCTTGGGATAGAAGCCTAGTAATTAAAAAGAGAAAGAGGAGATCTCTGAGAAGAGCCTTTCAGAGCATATGTTTTCACCCTCAAGTAACAAAAAAATGAAGATATCACTGAGGGAGTCTTTAAGGAGGCCACCAAAGGAAAAAAAAAATGAACTTATAATGAAGAAAGTAAAACAAACCAAATATCATGAGAAGAAAATACCAAAACACATTATCACTTCCAGTCCTTTCAGTCTGTGTCTACATGTGAGTAATTATTTAGCTTCATTAAGGTATAAATTAAAATTTAAAAAGTACATAAACCATGCAATTCATTTTACATGTATCTGTTTTACATAGATTTAAGCCTATGAAATCATGACCACAATGAAAATAGCAAACACTTTCATTATCTCTAAAAGTCTCTTTCTTCCCATTTGTAATCCATCCCTCCTTCCATCCCCATCCTCAAGCAACCTCTGGTCTGCTTTCTGTCACTATATTTTGCTTTATGCAATATTTTTTATATAGAGTGAACCACAGAGCATGTACTCTATTTTTCTCTGGCTTCATTCATTCAACATAATGATTTTGCATGTAATAATAGCATATTCCTTTCTACTGGTGAGTGGTAGTCCATGATATGGTGAATGTTTATCCATTCATCTCTTGATGGACACTTAGATACTTTCCAATTTTTGACTATTACAAATAAAGCCATAAAGTGTGTTTCATAATATTTGTGCATTGACAAATATTCATCAATCAATGCACACTTGGGCTCTTCCCATAGTTTGGCTATTGTAGATAATGCTGCTATAAACATTGGGGTGCATGTATCCCTTGAATAGTGTTTTTGTATTCTTTGGGTAAATACCTAGCAGTGCAATTGCTGGATTATAAGGTAATTCTATTTTCAACTTTTTGAGGAACCTCCATACTGTTTTCCACAGTGCCTGCTCCAGTTTGAATTCCCACCAACAACATAAGAGTGTTCCCCTTTCTCCGCATCCTCACCAACACCTGTTGTTTCTTGTGTTGTTGATTATAGCCACTCTGACAAGTGTGAGGTGATATCTCATTGTAGTTTTGATTTGTATTTCCCTGATGACAAGTGATGTTGAGCATCTTTTCATGTGTCTGTTGGAAATTTTAACCGTCCTAAAAAGTGTATATTATCTTGTAGCTTTAATTTTTATTTCTCTGGCGACTAATGATGTTCAGCATCTTTTCATGTACTCATTAGTCATTCATATATCTTCTTTTGTGAAATAATTTGTTCAAATATTTTGCTAATATTTTTAAAGATTTCTATTTATTTGAGAGAGAGAGCATGAGCATGAGTGGGGGTGCAAAGG